AGGACTGGAAAAGGTCAGTTTTCATTCCAGTCCCAAAGAATGCTCAAACTACCACACAATTGCACTCATCTCACACGCTAGTAAAGTAATACTCAAAATTCTCCAAGTCTAGCTTCAACAGTACGTGAACTGTGAATTTCCAGATGTTTAAGCTGGATTTAGAAAAGGCAGAGGAACCAGAGATCAAAGTGCCAACATCCTCTGGATCATCGAAAAAGCAAGAGAGTTCCAGAAAAACATCTACTTCTGCTTTATTGACTATGCCAAAGCCTTTGACTGTGTGGATCACCACAAATTGTGGAAAATTCTGAAAGAGATGGGAATATCAGACCACCTGACCTGCCTCTTGAGAAACTGTATGCAGATCAGGAAGCAACAGTTAGAACTGGACATGGAACAACAGACTGGTTCCAAATAGGAAAAAGAGTACGTCAAGGCTGTATATTGTCACCCTGCTTATTTAACTTATATGCAGAGTACATCATGAGAAATGCTGGGCTGGAGGAAGCACAAGCTGGAATCAAGATTGCCAGGAGAAATATCAATAACCTCAGATATGCAGATGACACCAACCTTATGGCTGAAAGGGAAGAAGAACTAAAAAGCCTCTTGATGAAAGTGAAAGAGGAGAGTGAAAAAGTTGGCTTAAAACTCAGCATTCAGAAAACTAAGATCATGGCATCTGGTCCCATCACTTCATGGGAAATAGATGGGGAAACAGTGGAAACAGTGGCTGACTTTATTTTTTGGGGCTCCAAAATCACTGCAGATGGTGACTGCAGCCATGAAATTAAGACACTTACTCCTTGGAAGGAAAGTTATGACCAACCTAGACAGCATATTAAAAAGCAGAGACATTACTTTGCCAACAAAGGTCCGTCTAGTCAAGGCTATGGTTTTTCCAATAGTCTTGTATGGATGTGAGAGTTGGACTATAAAGAAAGCTGAGTGCCAAAGAATTGATGCTTTTGAACTGTGGTGTTGGAGAAGACTCTTGAGAGTCCCTTGGACTGCAAGGAGATCCAACCCGTCCTTCTTAAAGGAGATCAGTCCTGGGTGTTCATTGGAGGGACTGATGTTGAAGCTGAAACTCCAGGACTTTGGCCACCTGATGCAAAGAGCTGACTCATGAGTTCATTGGAAGGACTGATGTTGAAGCTGAAACTCCAGTACTTTGGCCACCTGATGCGAAGAGCTGACTCATCTGAAAAGACCCTGATGCTGTGAAAGATTGAGGACGGGAGGAGAAGGGGACGACAGAGGATGAGATGGTTGTATGGCATCACCGACTCAATGGACATGAGTTTGGGTAAACTCTGGGAGTTGGTGATGGACAGGGAGGCCTGGCGTGCTGCAGTTCACGGGGTCGCATAGTCGGACACGACTGAGCAACTGAACTGAACTGAATATAGGAGCACCTAAATACATAAGTACTAACAGGAGACTTTAACACCAAACTCACAACAATGGTCAGATCTTCTAGACAAAGTCAATAATGCAACAGAGATCCTAAATGATACAACAGGATAGTTAGCCTTAACTGATATTTTCAGAACATTACACATTCTTTTCAAGTGCATATGCAACACTGTCTAGGCTTGACCACATACCAGGGCGCACACACAAAAAAAGCCTGAACAAATTAAAGTGGGTAAAGACGGTGGAAATTATTTCAAGAATCTTTCTGACTACACAGCATGAAACAAAAATCAACCACAGAAGAAACGGGAAAAAAACAATTACATGGACTTTACACACAATCATTCAAAATCTGTGGGATGCTGCAAAAGGGGTTCTTAGAGGGAAGTTCATAGCAATATAAGCCTTCCTCAAAAAACAAGAAAAATCTCAAACAGCAGAACCTACTACCTAGAAGAATTAGAAAAAGAACAAACAAAGCCTAAGTCAGCAGAAGGAAATCATAAAGATCTAAGAGGAAAAATATGAAATAGATTAAAAAACAACAAATTAAATGAAACCAAGACTTGGTCAAACAAAATTGAGAAACCTCTGGCCTTGATTATTAAGAAGGAAAGAGCCCAAATAAGAAATAAAAAAGTAGAAATAACCACCAATACTGCAGGAATACAAAAACTGTAGGACAATATTATAAACAACTCCATGCTAACAAATTTGCCAATGTAGAAGAAATGAAAAGTTTCTACAAACATATACAACTCTTCAAAACTGAATTAAGAAGAAACAGATAATGTGAACAGGCACTAGAAGTGAAACAGAATCTGTAATTAAAAAAAAAAAAAAAAAAACACCTCCCAACAAACAAAACTTAAGGACCATGTGGTTTTACAGGTGAATTCAACCAAACATATAAAGAAAAACTTACATGGATCCCGCTCAAATTCTTCCAAAAGGTTAGAGGAGGGAACACTCAAAGATGTTTTATGAAGCCACCATTACATGGATACCAAAACCAGACAAGTACACCACTAAAAATGAAATTTACAGGTCAATATCTTTGATGAATATAGATGCAAAATTTCTAAACAAAGTATTAGCAGACCCAATCCAACAAACATAGATCATACACCATGACCAAGTTAGATTCACTTCAAGATCACAAGGATGGTATAATATACGAAATCAATATAATACACCACATTAACAAAGAAAAGTCACATGATCATCTCAATAGATATAGAAGAAAAGCAATGGTAAAAAGACGAAAGCCTTCCTGCTAAAATCTGGAACAAGACAAGGATGCCAATTCTCATCGCTTCTATCCAACATAGTATTGGAAATCAGACAAGAAAAAGAAAAGGTATCCAAATTGGAAGGGAAGAGGTAAAACTGTCATTTTATGCAGATGCACACATGCATGCTAAGTTGCTTCAGTCGTGTCTGACACTTTGCGACCCCATGGACTGCAGCCCACCAGGCTCCTCTGTGCATGGGATTCTCCAGGCAAGAATACTCGAGTGGGCTGCCATGCCCTCCTCCAGGGGATCTTCCTGACTCAGGAATCAAACCTGAGTCTCTTACATCTCCTGCATTGTAGGCAGATTCTTTACCACTAGCACTACCTGAGAAGCCCTTTATGCAGACTACATGATACTATATGTAGAAAACCCTAAAGAACTGATAAATTCAGCAAGGTAGCAGGATACCAGATTAACATGGAGAAGTTGATTTCATTTCTTTAACAATATCAGAAAGGGAATGTAAAACAAAAAACTAAAAAACTTTTAAAATCACACAAAATAAACCCAAAATACTTAGCTTTTGCACAGCAAGAAACCATGAACAAAACAAAAATACAATATATGGATGGGGAGAAAATATTTATTTGCACACGTGACTGACAAGGGCTTGATTTCCAAAATGTACAAACAGCTCATGCAATTCAACAACAACAGCAAAACCCAATCATGGGCAGAAGACCTAAATTCTCCAAAGGAGACATACAGATGGCCAACAGGCATATGAAAAGGGATGTTCAATGTCGCTAATTACTAGAGAAGTACAAATCAAAACCAACAATGTGGTACCTGATGATAACAGATGTTGGAGAGAGAGTGAAGAAAAGGGAACCCTCCTACAATGTTGATGGGATGTACACTGGTACAGTCTCTAAAGAACAGTAAAGAAGTTCCTCAGAAAGCTAAAAATAAAGTTGCCATATGATCCAGGAATCCTATTCAAAAGACACATACACTCCTATGTTCACAGCAGCACTATTCACAATAGCTAAGACATGGAAACAATCTAAATGTTCAATGAATAAAGAAGATGGGTGATACAAACATGCTCATGCACACTCATACACACACACACTGGAATACTACTCAGTCATAAAAAGAACAAAATAATGCCATCTGTACAACAAGGATGGACCTATGCAGTGTCATACTAAGTAAGAAAGACAAATACCCTATGATACCACTTATACGTGGAATCTAAAATATGACACAAATGAATACATGTATGAAACAGAAACAGACTCACAAAGAGAACAGACTTGTGCTTGCCAAGTGGGAGGTACAGTGGGAAAGGGATGGAGCGGGAGTCTAGGGTTAGCAGATAGATTCTATTATATATAGAATGGATAAATAACAAGGTCCTATTGTATACAGCACAGGGAACTACATTTAATATTCTGTGATACACTATCATGGAAAAGAATATTTTCCATGTGTCCTAAATGTGTATCTAGGACTTCCTTGGTAACACAGTGGGTGAGAATCCAGCTGACAACGCAGGAGACACAGCTCTGATCCCTGGTCCGGAAGATCCCACGTGCCACAGCACAACTAAGCCCTGTCTCACAGCACTGAGCCTGTGCTCTGGAGCCCACGAGCCACAGCAAGAAACTTGGGCACCACAATGAAGAACAGCCCTTGCTCGCCCTGACAGGAGACAGCTCACGCACAGCAACAAAGATCCAGCACAGTAATAAATAAATTACATAAACACACACACACACACAACTTAATCATTTTCTGTACAGCAGAAATTAATTCAACGCTGTAAATCAACTATATCTCAATAAAAAGTTAACACAAAAAAGCAGCTTTATTGAGTTCCATAGGACATTTATTAACCTAGATCATTCCTTTATTAACTCAAGACTATCAGTGAGAAAGTTCGAAGTTTTTCAGCCACTGCAATTGTATTTCTAAGACTGCTAAAAGTGTTATGTTTTCAGATAAGTTTGGAAGACATATCAGATCCATGTATATGTCCACACTGAAAAGTCACAATAAACATTAGCACAACAAAGATTCCACAAAGTCCTAAAGAAATGTCTGATTCTGTTTAGAGGATTCCTCCTTGAGCATAGAACACCTGTTTTTTGGCAGTATATTCAAAACATCAGTTGGGAAACAAAATGATCAGTTTCTAGGCATATTTCAATAAAAAGTAACCTTCTAGATTTTCATTCTAAAATTAGACTGCAAGCTATTTTTGCACATCTAGGTTTTATTTTGCTGACATGGAAAAAGAGGCATTTTAGAGGAATCATTACCAATCTATAGGCTTACCTCCTGCTTCTAACTGAACTCCTGGAGTCAAGTGAAGAAATTCTGGTTTCATGCTTACTCGGGAGCCAGAAATAAAACCAACCACAAATTCAGAATGTTCTTCAGCCATTTTCACCTGAATGCAATGTAATAAACAGATGACAAGACAGCAGTTAACCACACCAAATGTAAGAAACTTTGCTATCTTATAGATGTATTTTCTCATGTCATATTAAACTCATATCTAAACAGGTAATCTTAGATATGAATCTACATACTTGCTCCACTAAGGCCCTAAAATAACTCCTCCTATCCCCTTCTCCCATAAGCAAACACTAAAAACCCTATACTATTTGCCTCTAAAATTTAGATGCTCCATTACTACCTATTTTTAATAATGTTTAGGGGCCTACCTACTTCCAAAAAGGATATGAATCATACCCTAGAATACATTTATGATATAAAGCTACGCTGAAGTCTTACTGCCCATCTACAGATACCCAAGGACAGACACAACATAAAACAGCTGTGCTGTAAAGAGCTAGCTAAAGAACTCTTACCTCCATAGCTTTCCCTGTACTTTAACATTGCCTCCACAATTTCTCTTCCATCACCTCACATCTTTAGAAGATTCCCTAGGTCTGCCTAACCATTTTTTCCCCCCTGCCTAACTTTCTAATTTGGTTCTTCCCTGAGGCCCAGACTGTTCCATTCTTGCTACTAAGTACTACCACCTACCAATAATCAATGTATTGTCCTTGAGCCAGATCCAGAATGCCAAATATTAACACTGACTCATGGACCCTCTGCTAAGACAGTTGGGAAATCACAAACATTTATGGTCAAATCAAGGGTGGGGTTATTTAAAACCTGGCCCTATGGCCATGTGAGTTTTTCACAGTTCCACAACCTTTGAAATATGAAAAATAAATTCCCATGTAAAAATTAAAATTTTATTAAAAGTTCCTACTACTTTAAACAGTAGTCTTTAAAATATATGCAAAGGTAAATCCATCCCATCTTTCTAGGTGACTATCCAACTATGAAACTTGCCCAGAGGAGAATGTGAAGAGGAATTTTATAACCAGATGATTATCCATCTCTTTTTTTGTTCTGGTGTGCAGGGGGTGGGAGTTGGGTATGGTACATTAGAACATGTATGGTGCTATAAGAACCTCCCTGGCGGCTCAGTTGGTAAAGAATCCACCTGCAATGTGGGAGACCTGGGTTTGATCCCTGGATTGGGAAGATCCCCTGGAGAAGGGAATGGCAACCCACTCTAGTATTCTTGCCTGAGAATCCCCATGAACATAGGAACCTGGCGGGGTGCAGTCCATGGGGTCGCAAAGAGTTGAACACGACCAAATGACTAAGCACACACATAAGAATTTTTAATAATGGGGAGTTACTAGAGGAAATAACATGCCTGGACTCTAGTTAAGAGCTCTCCTATACAACGCCAATCAATATCAAAGGCTGAAAAAAATAACCCACTTCGAGGGCTGCTGTCATGAGAATGTGCATCTTTGTGACTCAGGAAGATTCCAAGAAACTGTAAAAAAGCTCTTCAATTTCAACTCATGGTGAGATGGGAAAAACTGTATCTTAAAGGCCACGTACACACAGATGTATAGAACAGACTTTTGGACTCTGTGGGAGAAGGCGAGGGTGGGATGTTTCATGAGAACAGCATCGAAACATGTATATTATCTAGGGTGAAACAGATCACCAGCCCAGGTTGGATGCATGAGACAAGTGCTCGGACCTGGTGCACTGGGAAGACCCAGAGGGATCGGGTGGAGAGGGAGGTGGGAGGGGGGATTGGGATGGGGAATACATGTATATCCATGGCTGATTCATGTCAATGTATGACAAAAACCACTACAATATTGTAAACTAATTAGCCTCCAACTAATAAAAAATAAATAAATAAATAAATAAATAAATAAAAAGGTCAGGTACATACAGACATATATGCTTATTTGACCCAATATCTGTGTTTCAATGTTTCTCTTATAGTACCATTCAAATCTCTTTAGTGTCTGCTATAAGACATAACAGGCTACTAACCATCAGTGCATTCTAGCCAACTAGTATTAATATACTGTCACAGTAACAGCAGCTGATTTGCTTTGGGCAGCAATCCCACAGACCTCAAATGAAGGTATTTTCTTTCCCTGTAACATCTAGTGTCGCAGTCCTGGCCTTCTCGTGCCTCAGTCCCTCTCCTGTCACTTACTGCTGCCTCCGTGTAGCTCCCAGTAGCCAGGGTACCAGCAGAGCTCATCTCTGCAATAAGCAGGCATGCCCGGTGCAGCGGCAGGCCGACTTCTCCCAGGCCTTTCACAACTCCTGCGCCTGGCACGACATGAGCATTGACAAGATCTGCCCAGGAAGCTATTTTAAAGACCCCACCTAAGAAAGGGAAAAAAAGATTTGTCAATTTTCAAACAAAAACCTTTAAGTCAACCAACCATCTACAATATGGAAATAATCTAGTAATATGCTAATGGAACAGTTAAGCACTTCAAGAATTTTAGTAATTATCAGTGGACCTATTTGTGAAAAAGGTATCTTTCCATCTGCTTAGCTAGTTGAGAAACAAGGAGAAAAAAAATCTTGTAAGCTCTATACTTAGTTTATTAGCAAAACTGGTAAGGCTGTTTTTCTTTGCAGGCTGATGCTTGTGACCACCAGTAAGATTTATGCAACTGGAAAGGGACTCCAGTGAAGGCAGGTGTATTGAGGTCAAAGATAGCAAACTGAAATTCCTCTGAAGGTGACAGATTTTCACCCTGTAGGGCTCTCTCAGGAACTTCAGTTCAGTTTAGTCGCTCAGTCATGTCCGACTCTTTGCGACCCCATGAATCACAGCACGCCAGGCCTCCCTGTCCATCACCAACTCCCAGAGTCCACTCAAACTCATGTCCATCGAGTCGGTGATGCCATCCAGCCATCTCATCCTGTCATCCCCTTCTCCTCCTGCCCCCAATCCCTCCCAGCATCAGGGTCTTTTCCAATGAGTCAACTCTTCACATCAGGTGGCCAAAGTACTGGAGTTTCAGCTTCAGCATCAGTCCTTCCAATGAACACCCAGGACTCATCTCCTTTAGGATGGACTGGTTGGATTTCCTTGCAGTCCAAGGGACTCTCAAGAGTCTTCTCCAACACCACAGTTCAAAAGCATCAATTTTTCGATGCTCAGCTTTCTTTATTGTCCAACTCTCACATCCGTATATGACTACTGGAAAAACTATAGCTTTGACTAGACGGACCTTTGTTGGCAAAGTAATGTCTCTGCTTTTTAATATGCTATCTAGGTTGGTCATAACTTTCCTTCCAAGGAGTAAGCATCTTTTAATTTCATGGCTGCAATCACCATCTGCAGTGATTTTGGAGCCCCAAAAAATAAAATCTGACACTGTTTCCACAACTCTTAAATCTTCTTCCTATTCCTTAGGTCTCACTAGCTCTTCAAATTTCAATAAAGCAATTGTATTCATTTTAGAAGTAGAACAATAACTTAAGTAGATTTTTGAAAAAACTAAATGCAAATTTGTAGGAAGCTTGCATAACTCTTTCAACAGTCAATATCTTAAGCATATGAAGTCATTACAAACAAATCTATCCTTAAAGAAGTAGCTTAAAAATATGCATGTATTACTTAAAGAAAAAATGATCTTAAAAGATGCTTATTAAAGAACATAAAATGTCTGTTGTAAGGTTAAGTGAAAACAAAAAAGTATTAGATAAATATGACAGAAATTTGCATAGATGGATGGGTAAAAGAAGCACTTTTAATAATGTATGCTCTACTCTGAGTTCCTATTTAACACTTTTAAAAAAGGATGTGTATCAACAGATCTTTTTCTGCTAAAAATAAATCTTACCACTTTATACTACTTTCTCCTTATTTCCTATATCTGCAACTTCCAGTCTCTAAAGATTCAGAACTCACTGTGTTTTGTTTTGCCAGGGCCAACACCTGTCATTTCTGCCTGCCTAAAACCCATGTCCCTTTCTTCTGGCATCAGCACAGCCATTTTCTTTAGAATTAACCCTGTACCTCGGGTTTCAGGAAGTTTACATAAAGCTAATAGCCTCAGATCACCAGGAGCAGGGTGTATTACCCAAGTGAGCTAATAAAGGTATTCTATACCCAGGCCTGAGTGATTGGTTTGGGGCAGGCATGAGGAATGTGCCTACCTGAGAAAGAAAAGAGAAGAAAGCAGAGCTGAGACTTGGGGAGAAAGTAAGCCCGAAAGATATCACTTGAGCTCCTAGATCCAACCACGCTTGACAGGCCATTCTACTGCCGGACTCTCACGTGAGCCAACACATTTCCTTTTGTTCTTCAGCCAGCTTAGGCTGGACTTCGCTTCTTGTTGGCTCCTGAATAATGCTTACCTTCATACTGCTTTTTCACTGTGTTTCCTATATCTGCAAATTTCCGGTCTTCAAATATTAGAAACTCATGGCGTTTCGCCAGAGTGGTTAATTCCTTCATCACATCCAGAGTAAAATCATTCAAAATATCTACATGAGTCTTAAGCAAGCAGATTCTGGGTCCCAAAGCATCTGCTAGCTGCAGTAGCTCTCTGGACTCTGAGATATCAGCAGACAGGCACAGATTGGTCTCCTTCTTTTGCATAAGCCTGAGAAGCTTTGATGCAACCGGGTGGATCCCAGGCAGCTCTGCACGTGCACCAAAACTTAGTTCTTTGGGTTCTTTCTTCAGAGAAGGGAGAGAACCATTAGGATTAGCTGCCACAAAAACATTCTCCTGAATAAATCTCTTCACTCTCTCCACCATCTCAGCATCAATTTTTTTCTGCTGCTCAAGAATATCCAGCATTTTGGACAATGTACACACTGGGTGGAGACGAATCCCATGGGCCTGCAACTTGTCCTTGCCTCCCTGCTCTCTGTCCAGCAGCACTATGGCATCAGTGACCTTCAAGCCTTCTTTCTGAAGAACCTCAGCAGTTTCCAAAACACTAGATCCGCTGGTGACAACATCTTCAATGATCAAACAGGTTTCTCCTGGATTAACAGCCCCTTCTATAAGCCGTTTAGTACCTGGAAAAGAAAAAAATTATGTTGATCCCATTTTAAAATTATGTATTTCAACCAACTCAAGATGTATCTATAGTATAAATTTGGCATGTATTTATGAAAAGGTGGATAATCTAAATTATACTTTCTGACAATCCACTTTGGAAATATATTTTTAAAATTTCTGATGAATCTTCAGTGTGCTATGATTTACTGTTTTGTTCAATGTCTCCATTTCAAAACTGTCAAAGTTACATAGACAGAATATTTACAGTAAAACTAGCAAATTATTTAACTTTGTAAAACATCACAATGTGTTTATGATCAAAATTTCAAATATGGGGTTTCTTTAGGCAAGATCACCTGGACTGATGAAAGTTATTAAATAGCACAGTATCATCAATGAAATCATTCCTTTTTCCATTAACAATTTCATTATTCAAGATCAGCGAAACAACTGGCCTTTTGAGTATACAAATTTAGGAGGGAAAATATTCAACAACCATTTAGATGAATCACTACAACCTTATGAATTATATAATGTAATGTGACTAAATATACTGGCCCACTCCAATCCCTACTACAGACTATTTTCTGAAAACCAACAAATTGTAAATAAGTCAGGCTGTAGACTACAAAGACCTGTGTTTTCAGAGACGTATTTTTGTGTTTTCCACTACCAAATTTACCTTATTTTGACGCAGTATATATTTGGTGGGTGTTTTGCCCACTTTTAACTTTTCCACATGTACTATCTTTGTCTTTTCCCCTAACTCCTTTTCTTCCTTGAAGAACTGGCAAGTTTAACTTAGACCAGAATGTAAGACTGTATTTATAGGTATATTTTAAAATGAATGATCATATTCTAAGAAATATTTTTGAAGACACATAATAAGGAAATAGAAATAATAGTTTCCTTATGGGAGAGATTCATATAGATAAAACACTGTGCCACTAAGTAGCAAGAATATTATTCTAGTTTTTTATAATGTTGAATAAACTAAAACTAGACAAGAGTATAACAAATCTCCACAAATACAGCAACTTGCCACCTAATAACTCATGGGCAATCTTGTTTCAGCTATAATTTCAATTCCACCCTCCCCCCAGTAATTTTTAGAAGCAAATCTCAGACAGCATATGATTTCATCATAAAAATTTTTAGAACACATTGGTAAAAAGGACTCATCAAAAAAGGCAACAAAACAGAAATAATACCAAAAAACAATAATTCTTAATGTAATAAAATATGAAGTCTGTCCCAATACTTTGATTGATGTAGCTTAAAAACATGTTTGAAATACCCACCTGATAACCTACTGCCATGAACCCATTAAAAAAAAAAATCTCTATTTAGAATTCCATGTGGCATTTACACTGCCCTCCCCCCGCTTTTTTTTTTGCCATGCTTCATGGCTTGTAGGATCTTACTTCCCCAACCCAGGCCTCCTGCAGTGGAAATGCAGAGTCCTAACCACTGGGCCACCAAGGAATTCCTTTACATTGCTTTAAGGGAATAGTTTTATTTATGTAATTTAAACAGAGTACACTGGGAAAGTATGTGCTCTAAAAGCATTCTGCTGATGAGGAAAGTGCTGGTAAAAATGATGCGTTTCATAAATTTGGTGCACAAAGCATTTTTTTTTTAACTGCCTAATTAACATAAAGCATTTTATCCCCAGACTCTAAAGGAAAGGGAGTTGCTTTATAACAACAGTTAACACACTCCAAGGCCATAACAACTTAAAAGACTGATGAAGAATATTCAATGTGACTATCAACCTCAGTGCCTAGAAGAACAAATTCTAAAAGTGTCAGGTTATGAATCAACTTAATGCTTATACTACTTTTACTTTACCATAATCCTTTGTTTCTTTCCTTCTGATAAGCATTGGAATTTGGTGGGTTGAACAGATAACTGTAGCCAATGGTAAAGCTGTATAAGGTACTCCACACACAGTGTCAAAATTGATCCCTGCATTTTGGGCAGTTTGAAATAAAATTTCTGCAACCTGTTAAAGAAAAAGAAGAACATATGAATGATCTATTATTACTATTTTTAAACCTGTATATAAATCATGTAACAACATGACAGTAAAAACCTAGCAAAGGAAAGTCTCAAACTTGGGCCAGAAAAATATAAATGCCTTGTTGTTAAATTACCCTCTCCACAAATCCCAATTTACAAAAAAAAAAAAAGAAAAAACATAAAAACACAAGAATTAATCTACTTGGCTAGACTCAGGGCTGCTTCAAGGGCAACATGGAATGTGTCAGGAAAGGCTATGATATTGACCCTGAGACCAAGCATGACACTTAGGCTTCACAGTTGTCCTCAGTAATTCATTATACTTTGAGTATCTAAATCCATCAGCCTTATTTTCCCAACACAAGTTTTCAATTAAGAAGCTTTACAAGAGAAATTAAGAAAACAATTGCATCAGGACTCATCTGGTGAATGAGTGGCTAAGACTTGATGCTCCCAACGCAGGGGACCCAGGTTCTATCCCTGGTTGGGGAACTAGATCCCACACACCACAGCTAAAGATCCTGCATGCTGTATCTAAAGATCCACATGCCACCACAAAGATCAAAGGTCCCATGTGCCACAACTGAGACCCAGTGCAGTCAAATAAATACAAACATTTAAAAAGAAAACAACTGCATTATGAAGAATAAAACACCTATAAATAAATTTAACCAAGGAAGTGAAAGACTTGCACACTAAACTCAATACAATTTCTATATAATTACAATGGCACTTTTCACAGAAACAGAACAATCCTAAAATTGTACGCAACTACAAAAGACCCAAGATAGCCAAAACAATCTTGAAAAAGAACAAAGCTAGAGGCATCATGCTCCTTGATTTCAGACTATATTACAAAGTAACAGTAATCAAGACAATATGGTATTGGCATAAAAACAGACACACAGGTCAACAGAACAGAATAGAGCCCAGAAATAAAGCTACACATGTATGTTCAATTAATACACATTAAAGGAGCCAAGGATATAAAAAGGGAAAAGGATAGTCTCTTCACCAAACAGGTTTGGGGCACACTAGACTACTATATCTTATACCATACATAAAAAGTAACTCAGAATGGATTAATGACTTGAATGTTAAGACATGAAAAAAAAAAAAAAAAAAGACATGAAATCATAAAATTCCTAGAAAAAAAAGTGGTCTCAGCAATGATTTTTTTGGATTTGACACCAAAAGCAAAGGCAACAATACCAAAAATAAACAAGTGGGAAAGTGGTTCAAGACTGCAGAGTAAGAATATACTGAACTCACCTCCTCTCACTAACACAATTCTATAACTCACTATGAACAAGTCCCTCTCAACGAACCTGAGAACTAGCAGAACAGCTACATCACAACAAAGGATAAAAAGGCCTATCAAGATAGGTAGAAGAGTTAGACAGAGTCCCCTCAAAACTCCATCCCCACTTCAGCAACCCATAAGGAACAGGGAGCTCACAAAAACCGAACCTCCCCCTGACGCCCTACATCAGTCACCCTAACCTGTGAACCTGCACCAGAGAGATGAGCTCTCAAAACACTTGGCTTTGAAAACCAACAGCATTTAGATCCAGGAAAACCACATGGATGCAGGGAATGGAGATTTGCTCCTAAATGGACTGTGAGGAGACTCACTTACCCTGGGACTCAGCTAAAGGGCAGCAGCCTGAAAAGTGCCCAGATCATATATGAAATAAATTCATTTGGTAATCTTAAAAATTCTGCCGGAAATGTCACCGTTGAACCTCTCTCCAGGTATGGAAGCACTAGCAGGCATCATTTTTACACTCTCTCACTTGCTAGTGCCTTCCCCACACGCCTCTGCCCAGGATCCCAGAGGCAGCAGGGGAATGCACCATTTCCCCATGCTTCTGCAACAGCATAACAGCATGTTCCCCATCCCCACCAGTCCTGCAGCCATAGCAGCAGTGTGGATACACACCAAGCCAGCAGGCACATGCAGCCCAAACGGGGACACTGCCGGAGTGTGTACTCTGGTTGCAAAGGGGCATTTCATTTCTGGGCTCCACAGGTGTGAAACAGTAGGATATACGGTTTGAGAAATAACCAAGAACTACAGCAAGGTTAAAGGGTAAGTAAGGTTCATTTCCAACGTGGGGCCACCCCATCAAGACTGGAAAAGATAACTGTGTCACCTAACACATGGAAATAAACACAGAGTCAAGCAAATTGAGGAAATAGAGATATATGTTCCAAACAACAGAAAAAGATAAACCTCCAAGAAAAATTCTTAATGAAAAATCTAAGTAATTGATCTGATAAAGAACTTAAAGTAATGGTCATAAAGATGCTAACCAAAATAGGAAAAAGAATAGATGACCTTGAAAAAAGAGAAAATGCAAAAATATACCAGAGAAATCAAAGAGCTGAAAAATACAATAACTTATCTGAAAAACACACTAAAGGGGTTCAAAAACAGACTAGATAAAGCAGAAAGATTGGTAATCTGGAAGACAGGGCAGTGGAACTCACCCAAACAGGGCAGCAAAAAACAAAACACCAAAATTTTAAAAAGCAAAAACAATCTAGGAGACCAAGGGAATAATATTGAGAATAATGACTCCCAGTTTAAGATAGTGGAGTAGAAGGATGTGCACTCATCTCCTGTGAGAACACCCAAATTGTAACTAGCTGTTGAACATTGACAGGACACTGGAACCCAGCAAAAAAAGATACCACACGTCCAAAGACAAAGCAGCAGCAGCAGTAAGACAGCAGGAGAGGCACAAGCACGATAAAACCAAATCCCATACCCGCCAGGTGGGTGACCCACAGACTAGAGAACAATAATGCCAAAAAGTTATCCCACTGTTACGAAGTTTCTGAACACCACTTCAGGCTTCCCAGCCTGGGGATCTGAAACAGGGACTAGAAATCCCAGGGAATCTGGCCTCAAAGGCCAGTGGGATTTGATTATAGGACTTCCATAGGACTAGGGGAAACATGGGCTCCATCCAGTCTTGGAGGGCATAAACAAAATCTTGCATGAACAAAGACCCTGAAAAGGAGCAGTGACCCCACTAGAGACTGAACCAAACTATCTGACAGTGTTGGAGAGCCTCCTGTGGAGGCGTGAGTCAGCAGGGGCTCACCACAGGGACAGGGGCACCAATCTGGGAAGGTCCCCCTTGGTGGTTGCCATTAACTGTACCAGCTGAGCTATTTGAAGTCCTAAAAGAAGATGCTGGTAAAGTGCTGCACTCAATATGCCAGCAAATTTGGAAATCTCAGCAGTGGCCACAGGACAGGAAATGGTCAGTTTTCATTCCAATCCCAAAGAAGGGCAATGACAAAGAATGTTCAAACTGCCACACAATTGCACACATCTCACGTGCTAGCAAAGTAATGCTCAAAATTCTCCAAGCTAGGTTTCAACAGTACATGAACTGAGAACTTCTAGACGGTCAAGCTGGATTTAGAAAAGGCAGAGGAACCAGAGATCAAATAGCCAACATTCGCTGGAACACCAAAAAAGCAAGAGAATTCCAGCAAAACATCTACTTCTCCTTCACTGACTACACTAAAGCCTTTGACTGTGTGGATCACGACAAACTGGGGAAAACTCTTAAAGAGATGGAAATACCTGCCTCCTGGGAAACCTGTACACAGGTCAAGAAACAACAGTTAGAACCGAACATGGAACAACAGACTGGTTCCATATTGGGAAAGGAGAATGTCAAGGTTGCATATTGTCATCCTGCTTATTTAACGTACATGCAGAGTACATCATGCAAAATGCCAGGCTGGATGAAGCACAAGCTGGAATTAAGCAATAACCTCAGATATGCAGATGACAGCACCCTTATGGCACAAAGCAAAGAACTAAAGAGCTTCTTGATGAAGGTGAAAGCAGAGTGAAAAAGTTGGCTTAAAATTCAATATTCAAAAAACTAAGGTCATGGCATCCGGTCCCATCACTTCATGGCAAATAGATGGGGAAACAGGGGCTGACTTTTTTATTCTGGGCTCCAAAATCACTGCAGAGGGTGACTGCAGCCATGACATTAAAAGATGCTTACTCCTTGGAAGGAAAGTTATGACCAACCTAGATAGCATAGTAAAAAGCAGAGACATTACTTTGCCAACAAAGGTCCGTCTAGTCAAGGCTATGGTTTTTCCAGTGGTCATGTGTGGATGTGAGAGTTGGACTACAAAGAAAGCTGAGCATCGAAAAATTGATGCTTTTGAACTGTGGTATTGGAGAAGACTCTTGAGAGTCCCTTGGACTGTAGGGAGATCCAACCAGTCCATCCTAAAGGAGATCAGTCCTGGGTGTTCATTGGAAGGACTGATGTTGAAGCTGAAACTCCAGTACTTTGGCCACCTGATGCGAAGAGCTGATTCACTGGAAAAGACCCTGATGCTGGGAAAGATTGAGGGCAGGAGGAGAAGGGGAAGGCAGAAGATGAGAAGGTTGGATGGCATCATCGACTCGATGGACATGGGTTTGGGTGGACTCTGGGAGTTGGTGATGGACACGGAGGCCTGGCGTGCTGCAGTTCATGGGGTTGCAAACAGTCGGACACGAGTGAGCGACTGAACTGAACTTTGCTGACAAAGGTCCGTATAGTTAAAACTATGGTTTTTCCAGGAGTCATGTATGGATGTAAGAGTTGGACCATACAGAAGGCTGATCACCGAAGAATTGATGCTTTTGGACTGTGGTGTTGGAGAAGGCTCTTGAGAGTCCCTTGGACTGCAAGATCCAACCAGTCCATCCTAAAGGAAATCAATCCTGAATATTCATTCACTGGAAGGACTGATGCTGAAGCTGAAGCTTCAATACTTTGGCCAAGTGATGCAAAGAGCCAACTCACTGTAAAAAACCCTAATGCTGGGCAAGATTAAAGGCAGGAGAAGGGGATGACAGAGGATGAGATGGTTAGATGGCATCACTGACTCAATGGACGTGAATTTGAGAAAGCTCTACGAGATGGTAAAGGACAGGGAAGCCTGGCGTGC